ACGATTAGAATCAGCCAGCAGATACCTCTGTGTGCTCACCATAAACTAAGCGTACAGGAAGACGGCAGTGGCTCTGGGGCAAATTCCCTGGGGCAAAGGCTTTGATCATAGCTGGCGAGTCAGAGTGATGCTGGTGGCCCTAGTGGGCTAAAGATGGGTCCTGGTCAGAGCAGACACTGAGTCTGGACTGGGCTTTGCTTACTCAGCGATAGATGCAAATGCTCAGATGCTATTAAAAAAAACACAGGCACCAGAACAGCCCTAGCTGGTTTGGCTCAGTGGATAGAGCGTCAGCTGTGGACTGAAGAGTCCCGGGTTCGATTCCGGTCAAGGGCACATACCTCTGTTGCAGGCTCAATTCCTATCCCTGGTGGGGTGTGTATGGGAGGCAACCAATCGATGTGTCTTTCTGACATCGATGTTTCTCTCTCTGTCTCTCCCTCTCCCTTCCACTCTCTCTGAAAATCAATGGAAAAATATCCTTGGGGGAGGATTAACAACAACAAAAAAACAGAACAGAAGATAGTGCACCGATTATTATGGCCAATTGTCATTTCTTCAGGCCAAGGACCACACTTTATAGCCCTGATGTCCAGCAATGGGCAGAGAGATGTCCTCAGAGTTCTATTTGATAGAGAATTGGAAGGGGCAATAGAAACATTTATTGTCTAAAATGAAAGGAGATAAAAGGCTTACACACCTTCCCGAGTGTGTGCTCACACTCAACAGGAACATGAGTGGGGCTAAAGGGGTTTCCCCACTGGACCTGGGGGGAAGGGGGTGGAGAATTATGCTGGTAAGACACTGCCATTCTTCCCAAGAGGAGAAGATGGTGGTATAACGACTCAACCTTTTTCTTTCTTCTTTCCCACATCACCTTAACTGTTTTTCATACCTGATTCAGTGGTCGTATAACCAGGGCTACAAATGCAAGTGCCTGAAACAGCAATGATTCCTCAATAAGAGTTTGCAACTACATTTTAAACCTTATGAGAGAATTCCTAAGGGCCTGGTGGAGCAAGATGTGCCTTCATCTGCTCCACCTGCCAAAGCTGGTGTTCACAGTGAATGCAGCTGCATACCTGCTGGTAAGAACAGCTCACAAGGTCTGCACCGGTGTAACCTCACCCCACGTGAACGGGAGTGGATCGAAGGGGAGGCACTTGCTAGACTAGTGTTGCTGCTGCGATCTAGACCAGCACAACGGCCAAACCTAATGTCTCTTCCAACAGTCTAAGAGTCTGGGCATAAATAAAGAGGAGAAACAGCAGCTAAGGCAGTGGTTCTCAACCTTCTGGCCCTTTAAATACAGTTCCTCATGTTGTGACCCAACCATAAAATTATTTTCGTTGCTACTTCAAAACTGTAATGTTGCTACTGTTATGAATCGTAATGTAAATATCTGATATGCAGGATGGTCTTAGGCGACCCCTGTGAAAGGGTCCTTCGACTGCCAAAGGGGTCATGACCCGTAGGTTGAGAACCGCTGAGCTAATGGAAAAGTTATGAACAAATGGGTTATGTAATGAGAGACCAATATTACATTAAAACTTCGAAAGAAGCGCAGAGCAAGAGATGATATCGTGTTTTAGCACGATCATATCAGATACCTGAGAGGGTGTAGCCATGTTTGCTGGGACCACTTCTGCTTTTGGAACCTCGGCTTTTGCAAGATTGAATGGAAGCCTGCAAACCTGAGGGGCCTCGTTCTGGGGGACGTTTTCATATGATGTGATGACTGACTGAAATGAATACCAATGCCTGTGCGGGGTTCTAGCAATGTGCCAATATCTTTTGAGTCGTACATCATTTTGCTGTGAGTGTTCTGTGGCCAGAGGCCAGGGGGTGGGCTGTGAAATAATAGAAAATATATGTATTGGTCTCTGCTCCTAGTTCCTGGCACGGAGTTCCTAAAACCCTTTTAATTTCCTAAGTGATAAGAGCACTAAGGGCAGCCCTAACCGGTTTGGCTCAGTGGATAGAGCGTCGGCCTGCGGACTGAAGGGTCCCAGGTTCGATTCCGGTCAAGGGCATGTACCTTGGTTGCGGGCACATCCCCAGTAGGAGGTGTGCAGGAGGCAGCTGATGGATGTTTCTCTCTCATGGATGTTTCTAACTCTCTATCCCTCTCCCTTCCTCTCTGTACTAAATCAATAAAATATATTAAAAAAAAAACAAAAACAAGAGCACTAAGGGCATCTTTGGCTCTATTTGGTCTCTCCCCCCAGTTCCTGACACAGGGCTCTAATCCCTTGGGATCTCCTGGGTCATAGAGGGGTGTCTTTTGCTCTAATGAGGCGACTTTGAGTGGGCTCCTGATACTTCCGGGATGGGGGCTGGTCACCCAGAAGACCATGATTAGCATCTTGGAACTTTGAGCTCCACAGCTCACGTTTCAGGAAGGGGAGAGAGGAGAGGGATTGAGTTAGTAACTGGTCATGCCGATGGGATGAGCCACCATAAAAATCCCAGAAGTATGGGGTTCAGAGAGCTTCAGGGTTGGTGAACATTGACATGTCGGGAGGGTGGCGCCCCAACTCCACGTGGACAGCAGCTCTTGTGCTGGGTTGGGACCCTTCCAGATCTCACCCGATGTGCCTGGCTGTTTATCTGTATCTTTTATTATTTTTTAACATATTTTATTAATTTTTTACTGAGAGGAAGGGAGAGGGATAGTTAGAAACATCGATGAGAGAGAAACATCAGCTGCCTCCTGCACACTCCCAACTGGGGATGTGCCTACAACCAAGGTACATGCCCTTGACCGGAATCAAACCTGGGACCCTTGAGTCCGCAGGCCAACGCTCTACCCACTGGGCCAAACCGGTTAGGGCTGTATCTTTTATTATATTTCCCTGAGTTCTGTGAGCTGTTCTAGCAAATAATGTGTGGTGGTCATAGGAACCTACGCGTTGTAGTCAAGTCAATAGAAATTGTGGGTAAACTTGGTCCCACTGTCTGCAATTGGCATCTGAAAATGGGGGAAGTCTCCTGGGACTGAGCCCTTAGCCTGTGGGGTATGTGCTAACTCTGGTTAGTGTTGGAAGTGAGTTTTAGGACACTGAGCTGGTGTCAGAGGATTACTTGGCGTGGGGAGTGGGGAGGAACCCACACAGCTGCTGTCAGAGGCGTTGGCAGAGTGGCAGTGGTGAGAGAGTGGAGGGGAAACACCCAGGAGGGTGGGGTCTGTAACAGACTGAATTGTGCCCTCCCAACCCCCCACCCCAGGACCTCAGAATGTGACTGTATTTGAAGGCGGGGTTTTTACAGAGGTGAGTAAGGCTAAACGAGGCCATTAGGGTGGATCCTTATCTGACTGACTGGTGCCTTTTTTTTTTTAAACCTCTAGGTGTCTTTGTTGTTGTTGTTAATCCTCACCCAAGGATATTTTTCCATTGATTTTCAGATAGAGTGGAAGGGAGGGAGGGAGAGAGACACATAGATGTGAGAGGGACACATTAAATTGGTTGCCACCTGAAATGCACACCCCCCTCAATTGAGCCCATGACCTAAGCACTGAGCCACACCCGCCAGGGCCTGACTGGTGTCTTTTTTTTTTTTAATGTGTATTTTTATTGATTTCAGAGAGAGAAAGGGAGAGGGAGGGAGAGAGGTAGAAACATCAATGATGAGAGAGAATCCTTGATTGGTTGCTTCCTGCACACCTTACTGGGGATCGAGCCCACCACCTGGGCATGTGCCCTGACAGGGAATCAAACCAGTGACCTCCTGGTCATGCTCAACCACTGAGCCACCGCGGCTGGGCTTGACAGGTGTGTGTGTGTGTGTGTGTGTGTGTGTGTGTGTGTGTGTAAGGACAAGGACATGTGGACACACACAGGCATCTGGGCTGCATGGGCTACAGAGGAAGGCCATGTGAGCTCACAGGGAAGAAGCAGCCACTTTCAAGCTAAGCAGAGAGGCCTTGAAATGGTCGGAGAAACCAACCTTGCCCGCTCCTTCATCTTGGACTTCAGCTTCCAGGACTGTGCGAACATGATGTCGGTTGCTCATGTCACCCGGTGCGCAATAGCCCGCCATGGCAGCCCGGAGGACGCACGCAGGAGCTCGGGGTCTTAGCTTGTACCTCCGGCTCGCTATCCTGCTCGCCCTTTGTCTAACCCGCCCCTGGGTCCTGTGGCTGTCCTGCTCCAGAGACAGAGCTGTGTCCCTCGCACCCGTCCCGCACCGGCCAGGTGCCCACGGTTCCTCTTAATTCGGCTCTAGCTGCCTGGCCTCCCGGCCCTGGGCTCCGCGGGCGGCATGGCGAGGGCGAGGCGGGGTTCTACGGGCCCCCCATCTCTGCCTCTGGGAGCTGCTGCCCTCGCGCCCCAGCCCTTCCGCGGACGTTCCCAGGCTACGAGGTCTCCCGTCCGCGGAGAAAGCGCGCGGTCCCGGCAGCTCCAGGCCTGGGAATCGGAGGTGCCTGGACCCCGCGTGCGGAGGCTGAGACCCACCCGCGCGGCACAGGCGGTGGGGGGGACGAACCCGGGACCGCAGGCGCCGCCCGGGCACAGGGAGCACCGGCGGCGACACGCCTGGGGCGCCGGGACCGCGGAGCCGAGGAGCATCCACTCTTCTTGCGTTCAGAACTACCCGGCGCTCCGCCCGCCTCCGGGCGCAGGGTCTCCGGGAGCGATGGCTGGGGGAGGGGAGAGGAGAGGAGGGGAGGGGGGAGGGGGAGGGGCGGGGGGGCTCGGAGCCGCCCCTTCCCGTGCAGCCGCGGGCCTGAGAAAGCAGAAGTGAGCCGCGTCCCGGAGTCCCACCGGCTCCGGGACCTGGGAAGAGAAACTTGCGGCCGGGGCGCCTCGCCCCCCGCCTCCCTCCCCCCCAACCCGGACCCGCCCAGAGCTCGAAGGAGGGTCACTAGGTCCGGACCGGGGACCGGGCCACCACCTGGCCCGCCCCTTCTCGCTGGAGGTCCGAAAATTGGGCCATTTCCCGGCCGCGCCCTCACCGCTTATCGGGGTGCGCCCGCCCCGCGCCCCCCCCCCCGAGGGAGGGGCAGCCAGTGCCTTGTGGCGCCGGCACAAGACCGGCCGGGACCCCTCGAAGCCGTCGCAGCAGACCCAGCGCCCCAGGACCCTCCGCTGGACGCCGCACGCCCCTGCTCCGCTGCCCCGGGCCCCTGACCCCTGTGCGGCCCCCAGTCCTCCCGCCCGGCCCTCCGACCCAGCACCCGGTGCCCCACCCTAGCCTCTCCGGTCTCCTCCCCCCGACGCCCCGGGCGGCTCGGGTCGGGCCCCCTGGAGCCCCACGTTGCCCGGGCAGGAGCGCGCGATGCTCCGGCTCCCGGTGCTGCTGCTCCTGGTGCTGCTCCAGCCGCCGCCGCTGCCCGCGCTCGCCCCGGAGCCCGCGGCGCAGGACGTGAGCCTGGGCTTGGTGAGTGGGGTCCCCCGGCCTCCGGGATTTGCAGGGGCGCGGGCAGAGGGAAGCTGGTGCTGGACGCCTAGGCCAGGCTGAGGGCCGATTCAGATGTCCACGGAGTGACTGGGGCTGGGGGCTGGGAACCGGGTTGTTGGAAACGTCAGGTTTGGGACCGGGATTTGAGGATTGAAATGGGAGGGGGGCGGGGACCAGGACCCTGGGTTCCTTACTGGTGAGAGGTGAGGCTTTCAGAAGGCGGTGGGGAGGCGGGTCCCATCGCTGCTGCCCTTCCCGCTTCACCTGCTCACTTGTCCGGCCCAGGACTGGCTGACCCGCTATGGCTACCTGCCACCGCCCGACCCAGCCCAGGCCCAGCTGCGGAGCCCTGAAAAGCTCCGGGATGCCATCAAGGTGATGCAGAGGTTTGCTGGGCTGCCTGAGACCGGCCTCCTGGGTAGGTGCCCCCAGCCCTGCCTCCGCACCCAGCCTGACCGTTACCCAGCTGTTCTTAAACCGCAGCACGCACTGAGTCATGGGGGTTATGACAATGCTGATCTCAGGTCCTAACCCAAGGAATTCCCAAGCATTCCTCCTCCAATGCATACGTATCGAGAATCTCTTACGTGAGAGGCCATTTCAGGCTCCGCTCGTACAGCAGTGAACAAAGTAGATAACTCCCTGCTCTCGTAGAGCTAACCTTCTAGAGACGAATACATTTCTAAGAGATCAGAAACAGAAATATGCAAGATCATTCCAGATAGTGGTGTTTTGAAGAAAATAAAATGCTAACGGTATTGAGGGGCTGGTCTGGTCAGGTCAGGGTCCTCTGAAAGGTGTCGTATGAGTCAAGAGGAATTCCCGCCATGGGAAGATGCGGGGGAAGAGTGTACCAGGCCAGTGCGAAGGCCCTGTGGCAGGCACAGGCTGTGCACCTGTGATGAGAGAGGACTAAGGGGCTAAGCAAATGCCTGGTGGGAGGAGGCTTGCAAGGTGTTTGGGTTGGATTCGGAAGCACGGTAAGAAACCATGGAAGGGTTTGAAGGAGGAAGGCAACTTGGTCTGTTTTGCAGTTTTACATTTCCTTTGGTTGCTGATGGAGAGTGGTGGGTGGGGAACACGGAGGCCAAAGAGGCGGTCATGCAGTGTCCAGGCAGGGGCTGCTGGTGGGAGGTGTGATGAGAAGTGGTTGAAGCCAGAGTGCACATTTTGGAGGGAGAGCTGAGCAGCTCATCTGCTGGGTTAAATGGGGAAGAAGAGAGAACTGGTGGGTTCCTGGCTAGCTGCGAGGGAAGGCAGGGTCTTCCCCTGCCCTGCTTGGCATCTACATGGGCTCAATTACACATTGTGACCTCAACCATCGAGGTGAGGTTTGACCTTCTGTTGAGGAGGAGGAGGCTGCTGGGAATTGAGCTCAGCTGGAAAAGGGGATTCCAGGCAGCTCTAACCCAGGAGGGGGTGGTTAGTCACAGGAAATCAGAGACCCAACCGGCGTGGGGACTCCGGACTTTATCACGATAGGGTCTTGGAACCTCTGGTGTGGGGTGTGGGGTGTGGGCACCCTCCTAGGAGTTCCCAGCCTCAGAGAGAGGAGTTTGCACTGCACCCCCAGGGCTCCTTCCTTGAGCCCAATTGCTAGGGCTCAGGGAAGCTCCCTGCCTGAGGCTCTGAGCACCACCTGGAGGCAGCCACGCCCTCCAGGGCCAGGTGCTGGTTTGGATGAGCTGGCTTACAGTCAGACTGTCTGGGTTCAAATCCAAGCGGGGGCAAGTTTCTTCATCTCCCTGAACCTGTTTCCCCGTGTGGAAAGTTAGCTGGTACCATGATTCGGGCAGGTTGTCCTTCTGCTGATCCCGCTCCCCCAACCTGTCCCACAGACCCAGTGACGATGGCCACCATGCACAAGCCCCGCTGCTCTCTGCCCGACGTGCTGGGGGTGGCAGAGCTGGTCAGGCGGCGGCGCCGTCGTCGCTATGCCCTGAGCGGCAGTATTTGGAAGAAGCGAACCCTGACGTGGAGGTAGGTCCTGGTGCCTACCCCACCCTGGGCTGGTCTGCTGGGCCCTGGTCTCTGTGTCCCAGGCTATCCTCACCCTCCACTCCTCTTTCCCCAGGATACACTCCTTCCCCCGGAGCTCTGCCCTGAGCCAGGAGACTGTGCGGACGCTCATGCACCATGCCTTGGCTGCCTGGGGTATTGAGTCAGGCCTCAAATTCCGGGAGGTGGGTTCTCAGGGCCCACCAGAGGCTGACATCCTCATCGACTTTGTCCGGGCCTACCACCAGGACAGTTACCCTTTCGACGGGCAGGGGGGGACCCTCGCCCACGCCTTCTTCCCCGGGGAACATCCCATCTCTGGGGACACTCACTTCGACGATGAGGAAATCTGGACTTTTGGGTCAAAAGGTACAAATGTCCCTTCTTCTGAGAAGTCCTCTCCCCGGGTCTGTCTGTCTGTCCTTTTTTTTTTTTTTAAAATATATTTTATTGATTTTTTACAGAGAGGAAGGGAGAGGGATAGAGAGTTAGAAACATCGATGAGAGAGAAACATCGATCAGCTGCCTCCTGCACACTCCCTACTGGGGACGTGTCCGCAATCAAGGTACATGCCCTTGACCAGAATCGAACCTGGGACCCTTGAGTCTGCAGGCCGACGCTCTATCCACTGAGCCAAACCGATTGGGGCTTGTCTGTCTGTCCTTAAGAATTAGGTTTAAAGTACATTTATCGATGGAGGCTGTATCAGCTGGGCTTCTCCAGGAAAATAGAACCAGTAAGATGTGAGTATGTGCACATGGGCATGATTTATTTTAAGGAATTGGTGCACGGAATTGTGGGACTGGCAAGTCCAAAATCGGTAAGGCAGGCTGGAAATTCAGGTGAGAATTGATGTGGCAATTTTGAGTCCAAAATCTGTAGGGCCAGCCAGCCGGCTGGACAGCCAAGCAGGCTTTCTATGCTGCAGTCTGAAGGCAGAATTCTTCTTCTGGGAAAGCCCAGTTTTTGCTGTTAAGCCCTTCAACGGATGAGGTGAGGTCCACCCACAGTTCCGAGAGTTACCTGCTTTACTTAAAATGACATCTACAGAATAACCTCCATAGCAACATCCAGGCTGGCATTTGACCAAGCAACTGGGCGCCACAGTCCGGCCACTCTGACATAGAAAATGACCCACCAAAGAGGCCTGTCAGATGCCCAGCTCCGAGCTGGGGCTGAGAGCTTAAAAAGGCGAAAACGCCGTTCTGTGCAGCAGCTGAGTCAGATGAGTAAGTGGCAGTTGCTACACATCATGACACAACTGCAGGGAGTTACGACAGGGAAGTCCTCAAGCCTGCGGTGCTCAGAGAAAGGACAGATCTGAGGCTTTTGGCTGCAGGGGACTTCCTGGTAGCAGTGATTCTGTTCTCTCTCTCTCTCTCTCTCTCACACACACACACACACACACACACACACACACACACACTGAGTGCCAGCTAGCACACGAGGTCCTGCTCTCCCGAAGTATACAGGGAGGGGCTGGGCACAATATGGAAGCACAAGCCAATGGCTAGCTGAGTAGTCAGGGTGGTCAAGGATGAGAGCACTGGGGTGAGAAATGGCCTAGGGCAGTAAACTCATTAGTCAACAGAGCCAAATGTCAACAGTACAACGATTGAAATTTCTTTTGAGAGCCACATTTTTTAAACTTAAACTATATAGGTAGGTACATTGTGATTAACTTAATTAGGGGACTCCTAAGCTGGCCTTTGCTAGAAACGGCCTCAGTCTGATTGAGGTATGTTCGCTGAGGTCGACCCCTTCCAACTCTCCCATCCACACTCGTCTTGTATGCTTGTTTCGTCTATCTCCTTTCGTTCATCCTCTCTATATGTCCACCCCCCACTTCTTCTAACGCCACTTCTTCAAAATAGACTCGCCCAGGCCGAAAACCGACTTCTGCGCATGGGCCACGAAGTTTCAATTGCACTGTACGTGCGCAGGTGGTATTTCGTGGAAGAGCCACACTCAAGGGGCCAAAGAACCGCGGTTTGCCGACCACTGGCCTAGGACATTTGGGGCTGGAAGGCAAAAAATACAGTGTCAGAAGGGAGACCATGGAGGATGGATGGAAGGTTTCATACCACACAAAGGGCCTTGGAGAGCACGGGGAGGAACCTGAACTGTAGGATTCTGAAGGCAAGAGATGTGGAAGGTTTTGCGTTCTAGAAATGCCACTGGCTGTGGAGCAGGGCAAGATAGGGCAGGACGGGAGAAAGTTGCTGCAGAGTCACTGTGAGAGATGGTGGTGGGAGATGGGAGGTGCTGAATGGAGGGCAGTGGGCGGCTCTGAGGGAAGTTTAATCAGGATGGGCAAAGGTTGGGGCCTGACTGGATCCTGGGGGCAAAGGGTATAGGAGGTTGGTGTGCTGGCCCCTGGAGGACAGTCCTGTTAATGCAGGTGGGAAGTGTGGGAGCAGACGCAGGCTGGGCGAAGGTAGGGGTGAGTTTAGGTGGGGGGTGTGTCTGCAGTGCTTATGGGCAGTCAGTGCGACGAGTGCATTGGTGGTTCAGTATGTTGCTCTAGAGCTTGGACTCCTCTGACTTAGGTCAGGTTCCCCAGAATTGGAGCTCACGATGTAAATTCTTATGCAAGCAGTTTCTCAGGGGTACGTTCTCAGGGGAAAGGGAAGCAGGAGAAGACGGGAGAGAAGCTGAGCAAGGATGTGGTCTTGGCTCCAGAGGAGCCTGACCCCACTGGGAGCTCTGGAGCACACATGGTGTCACAGGATTGGTCCTCCCTGGAGGCGAAGTGCCCAGCTCTCCTAGCCCTGCATCAATCAGCCATGTGACCTGCTGGGCCTGGGAGGGAGAGAGCCATTTTCTGAGGAAGGGGGCAGCCGGGGAATAGGCACACAGGCTCAGAGAGGATTTGGGCAAGGTACAGCTAGCAGCCACAGTAGTGAGACTGTGTAACACAGCATTTAAGAACACAAGCTGGCACTGGCCTGTGTGGTTCAGTGGGTTGGGTGTCATCCCCTGCACTGAAAGGTTGTAGGTTTGATTCCCAAGGCATATGCCTGGGTTTCAGGCTCAATCCCCAGTAGGAGGCATGCAGGAGGCAGCCTATCAATGTCTCTCTTTCTCTCTCTCTCTCCTTGCCCCTCTCTCTCTCTTCCTCTCAAAAACAAAACACAACAAAAACAAAAGATTGCGAGCTTGAAGCAGAACTCAAGGCTGGGATCCTCTGTTTGCTATGTGTATAAGTTACTTGACTTCAGTGTGCTTAGTTTTTGCTCTGAGAAATGGGAATAATATTACCTGCTGGTAGCGCGGACTTACGGATTTAATGAGTAATTCACCTCCAGCGCTCTGCACCAGGCCTGACACAGAGTAGCGCTCTGTTCATTGCCAGCAGCAACCTGATTTGCCCCCTTCCTCAGATTTAAGAGTCAGAGGTACTGGGGGTTGGGAAGGAGGAGAGTGTGGAATGTGAAGGTCGAATATAGAGCTGTGGAGAGCCCCATAGTAAAGGGGAAGGCATCAAGGGAGGAAGAAATAAAGAAAGAACAGCCAAAAGGTGATCAAGAGCAAGAGTGAAAAAGGAAGTGGTCAGCATGGCAGACCAATCCCGTGATTGACATGGGCTTGGATTTGGTCATCTGGGGATGAGTGACCTTAGTGCCTGTAGGCTTGGTGGATGGGGAAAGAATCCAGACCACAGTAGGGGTAGGCGTGAGAGGAACCGAGGAAGTGGACCGACAGGTCTAGGGAATGTCTTAGGATGGGGGAGTCTTGAGCACTCGGGGATGCCGAATGAGTTACTAGAAAGAAAGACTTGGTGGATGCACGGATACCAGGGGTCCTCAAACTACGGCCCGCGGGCCACATGCAAATACAAATATTGTCTTTGTTCCCGTTTTGTTTTTTTACTTCAAAATAAGATATGTGCAGTGTGCATAGGAATTTGTTCATAGTTTTTTTTTAACTATAGTCCAGCCCTCCAACGGTCTGAGGGACAGTGAACTGGCCCCCTGTTTAAAAAGTTTGAGGACCCCTGGAACAGACAGATGGAAGCATGGAAGGGTGCAGGCATGGACGAATGGGTGGGGCATTGTTCTTGTCCTAGAGGAGTTGAGCAAGGCAGGCTCCTTGAACAGGGCAGGGCAGGAGGTGAGCATGGGGGAGATGAAGCTACCTGTTCTGGGTACACAGGAAATTACAAATTACAAAGGATGGCCTGTCTTGAAATAGGAAATGCATTTGTCAGCACTTGTCATCTAAGAGTTGGGGCTGGACCTGGGTGGTAACTTGTGGGGCTGTGGGCTTGGAACTGAGGCCGAGAGCAAAGCAGCTTCCAGCCGAGGCCCAGGGCAAGTTTAAGAGGAGGTGTTGAGGACCCCACCGTCTAATCTGGGGCTGATCTGCACAGTTGGGTAATTTCCCCCCAGCTGCAGAGCATGAGAAGAATTCAAGGAAGGGGTGTGGCCAAAGGAGAAGCTAGACAGAGGAGGGGCAGGTGCGGTAAAAGATGAAAGAGAGCTACCTGATTAAGACACCTAACTGGCCCTGGCCAGTGTTGCTAAGTGGTTAGAGTGTTGGCTCAGGCATGGATTCCCAGTCAAGGGGACATACTTAGGTTTCGGGATTCGCCCAGTAGGGCAAGTGGGGGAGGCAACCAGCCGATGGACATCGATGTTTCTCTCTCTCTCTCTCTCTCCCTCTCCCTCTCCTTCTCTCTCTCTCCCTCTCTCTCTCTCCCTCTCCATCCCTCCCTCCCTCTCTTCCTCCATCCTTCCATCCCTCCCTCCCTCCTTTCCACTCTCTCTGAAAAGCAATGGAAAAAATATCCTCCTGTGAGGATAACAACAACAACAACAACAAAAAACCACCAAACTTCCTCGTTTCTCAGAAAAAGGACCCAGAGCGATCAGAAACCCACAGGCAACATAGGACATAGGAGCTCATCAGCACATACGAGTGTGAAGAGACCATCCGCAGTCACTGCTGAGAGCAGGACAGCACAGCCAGAGGACTCGGCCTTGGTTCTAGCTGTCATTGAACCTCACCTCTCAGTGCCTCAGCATCCTGGCCTGTCAATGTGGTTGGGGGTCGAGGTTCTGTGGGCAGTAAATGAGGGAAGTGTTTGTTGCTCCTCTTATGACGTACACATTCCACTCTTAGACTCCCAGTTAGTGGTCTTCAGGAGCTGAGAGAAAATTGCTTCTCCGTTCTGAGGCCATGTCCAGTTCACCCATGTTCAACACTGCTGATGCCAGTTCGCGATGTCCAGGAAGCAGATCAACCTCGGGGGGAATCTGTGCCTCCTGGGGGCTGCTCACCCCTCTGACTGTCTCTGTCTCTTTTGGCCTCTCACCTGCTTAGCAGGAGCCAGCAGGAAGCGTGTGGATGGATGAGGAGCTGAGATCTGGCTTGCTGCTGGCGCCTGGGCTGGGTCCCCAAGGAAGAGGCCTCCGTGCTCAGAGAGGCTGGGAGCGAGGCTGGGCACCCAGGCCAGCAGACTGTGGTCAGAGAGTGCATGCTGAGGCTGCGGGTTCTGAGGAGATGGATGAAGGCTGCAGTGGTGGGGAGGAGAGGCCAGGACCCCAGGGAGGTGGGGAGTGGTGGAGGCTGTGGGAGGGAGAGATGGGGAAGGGCGGTAGAGATGGGAGGAGGGGAGGTGGAAGAACCATGGGGGTGGGAGTGGGATTCTGAGGGTCTTGGGAGCAGAGGCCCAGGTGATTGAGCAGCATTCCTGGCGGGTGGGAGTGGGAAGGGTGTCGAGGGGTGGGGACCTCAGACCACTGGTTGGAGCTGGGAGGGGGAAACTGCAAGGGCTGGGGCTGCCTTGAGAGAATTGTGTGCACCCCGGGCTCCTGCTTCCCCTCCCCCATGTTTCTGTGGGCAGGCCTCCATCAGTGTAAGCCGGCCTTCCTTGGGCCAGGCTGTCTCCTCCTGCCCGTTCCCTCACCTGTTCTATGGGTCATCTGAGCCCAGTATCTCAGTGTCTAGCACTGCCAAGCAAAAATATTTGCTGAATAAGTAAACTCGTGCAGGAAGGATGAGGTGGCTCGGGGAGGCTTTTGGGCAGAGGACGCTGTGACCACCTCTGAGGGTCTCCTGGCTGTTCGTGTGCCAGCAGGCCCCGCTCCCAGGGGCTTCCTCGCTGCCCATTTCCTGGCTGCTCCAGCTCCAGCCCAGTCTCCCTTCCTCCCCAGATGGCGAGGGGACAGACCTGTTCGCGGTGGCAGTTCATGAGTTTGGCCACGCACTGGGCCTGGGCCACTCCTCTGCGCCTGACTCCATCATGAGGCCCTTTTACCAGGGTCCTGTCGGGGAGCCCACCAAGTACCGCCTGTCCCAGGATGACCGTGAAGGCCTGCAGCAGCTCTACGGTACAGGGAGTTGTGTGTGGGGTGCTCCCCATGTGGCCTCTGCAGCAGCGTTGGGGAACACATGTCTCTCTGACTCTCTCTACAGGGAAAGGACCCCAGACCCCATATGATAAGCCCACAATGAAACCCCTGGCTCCTCCTCCCCCGCCCCCTGCCCTGCCCCCAGGCAGGTGAGTCCTCCTCCAGCTTTGCCCTCTTGGGTGAGCTTCCTACCTGTGGAGTCCTCTTTGGTGAGAGGGCTTGGTAAGGGTCCCTGCCCCATAGGGCTGTCCTCAAGGTGAAGTACAGACAGGAGGAGCCCTGACCCCTTTCTCCTCACCTCTCCTTTCCTCCTCAGCCCCTCCCTTCCTGTCCCTGATCGATGTGATGGCAATTTTGATGCTATCGCCAACATCCGTGGGGAAACCTTCTTCTTTAAAGGTGAGTCACTCCGGTCTTCCCCGGCCCCGTAGAGTTGGTTTCCTACCCACTTAGGGTGACCCACCAGGCCTGTGGGGTTTCCCAGGATGTGGACTTTCAAGCTGGGTGGGAGTGGCTCCCTGTGGAGCACACCAGTGACTGCCCTTCCCCAATCCCTTTCTTTCCCCAGCGCACACTCTTTGAAGCTCACCTGAGCCTCTCCGCCCCCACCTCCCCCAGGCTCTATCCTTGCTTTTTCTCCTAAGCCAGTGATGGCGAACCTATGACACGCATGTCAGAGGTGACACGCGAACTCATTTTTTGGTTGATTTTTCTTTGTTAAATGGCATTTAAATATATAAAATAAATATCAAAAGTATGTCTTTGTTTTACTATGGTTGCAAATATCAAAAAATTTCTATATGTGACACGGCACCAGAGTTGTTAGGGTTTTTCAAAATGCTGACACGCCGAGCTCAAAAGGTTCGCCATCACTGTCCTAAGCCCTACTGTTCCCTCTGTAACTTGCCTCCTGAGCCCACCCAGCCCAGCTGGCTCACTTATCCCAGAGCTCACTTCTTCTACCTGTGTGACTTTCTATATAAACTTTTGCTTGTATTTGAAACACAAACAAAGTGGAGCTGGAGGTAGAAGGAAAGTCCTGGGCCATCTGGTCACCCTAGAGCAGTGGTTCTCAACTTTGGCTGCACATTAGAATCACCTGGGAATCTTTTTAAAATCCTGATTTTTGGTCTCATCCTCCGGAAATTCTGTTTCTTGGTTACTAATGTTGTGGCCTCACCCCATAACAAAGAAACAGAATTTCCGGAGGAGGAGGTCCAGAAATCAGGATTTTTAAAAGATTCCCAGGTGATTCTAATGTGCAGCCAAGGTTGAGAACCACTGCCCTAGAGCCACTGGGCCCTTTGGTTTCCAGATGGACCTTCCACCCAGCACTAAGTCCCAGCCACACACCCTGGGGGACAAGACCACTTGCCACCTCATGCTCCAGGCCCATCCCTTCTCCCACAGGCCCCTGGTTCTGGCGCCTCCAGCCCTCAGGACAGCTGGTGTCCCCCCAGCCTGCCAGGCTCCACCGCTTCTGGGAGGGGCTGCCCCCCCAGGTGACTGTCATCCAGGCTGCCTACACCCCGCACCGAGACGGCCGAATCCTACTCTTCAGTGGTGAGTGGGGCGCCCCCCTGGGACGCGCGGGGCGTGGGAGCAGTTGCTCAGAGGCTCCCTCCTGCAGGCCCGCAGTTCTGGGTGTTCCGGGACCGGCAGCTAGAGGGCGACGCGCGGCCGCTGGCCGAGCTGGGGCTGCCCCGCGGGGAGCAGGTGGACGCCGCGTTCTCTTGGCCGCTGAACGGGAAGACCTACCTGGTCCGGGGCCACCGCTACTGGCGGTACGACGAGGCGGCAGCGCGCCCGGACCCTGGCTACCCGCGCGACCTGAGTCTCTGGGAGGGGGCGCCTCCCAGCCCCGACGATGTCGCCGTCAGCAACGACGGTAGGAGAGCCCGCGCCCCGGCTGGCCAGCTGCGGGCCCTGGGGTTGGGGCTGGAGGTCGTCCTGGGGGTGCGGAGGGGTCCTCGGGTGGGCGGGGCGGGGGCAGCCGGCACCAGCGCTGCAGCTGTCCGCCCGCCTTGCAGGTGCCACCTACTTCTTCAAGGGCGCCCACTACTGGCGCTTTCCCAAGGGCAGCGTCAAGGCCGATCCGGACTCCCCGCAGCCCATGGGCCCCCAGTGGCTGGACTGCCCGGCCCCCAGCGCTGGCCCTCGCTACCCCAGACCCCCCAAAGCGACTCTCAAGCCCGAACCCTGCAATTGTCATTGCGAGATCAACCAGGCCGCTGGGCGCTTGTCCTCGTCTTCGTCGTCGGTGACCCTCCTGCTGCTCCTTCTGCCCCTGCTGGTGGGGGACATCACCTCCCGCTGAGGGGGGACAGGCCGCTCCACGGCGGGGCCGGTTCTCCCACCACCGGCCTGTACAGTGTAGGGGGTGGTGATGGCCTGTGGGGGGTGGTGATCGCTGCCCCCCCCCCCCATCCTCTGTTCCCTGGGCGGGCCCTGCAAGGTGGGTGGAGCTAAGCCCTGGGGGTAGGGGATGAGGGAGTGGGACACGAAGGCTGGCCCTGGACCGAACACAGGAAGTGCTCAGCCCCCCCTCCTCCAAACCCGCCTCCCCCTGCTTTGGCCCACCCAGGATGTGCATTTCCCGGAATGGCTGGCTTTTCTCAGAACACAGCCTGCTGACTCCTTGCAGCACAAGCCCTGCCTGGCAACAGCGGCTCATGTGCATGGGTCTTTAGAGGACAGGCCTGATCAGGAGACTGAGCCCCAGCACCCCCACCTCTGCCCCCCACTTTTCCAGAAGTGTCTCACCCTGTTCTGCTTCCACCCGGTCCCAGTGAACACCACATGGGTGGGGAACTGGGACCCAGTCCTGAGACCACCCCTGGGCACCAGTGCTGCCCGTTCTGGGTGGCACCAATGACCACAAAGGGGACCTTCCACAGTCTGGCCCATGGACCTCCTTGCTGGTCACCACCCTGAATCAGAACTGTCCCATTCAATAGGACACCCTCCCCATCTTTAAAAACCTCTTTTTGCCTCCACCCTGTGTGTCTGCAGTTCCCTCAAGGATAGTGGTTCTCAATCTTCCTAATGCCGCGACCCTTTAATACAGTTCCTCATCTCGTGGTGCCCCCCAACCATAAAATTATTTTCATTTCTACTTCATAACTGTAATTTTGCTACTATTATGAATCATAATGTAAATATCTGATATACAGGATGTATTTTCATTGTTACAAATTGAACATAATTAAAGCATAGTGATTAATCACGAAAACAATATGTAATTATATATGTGTTTTTTAATGTTCTTAAGCAACCCCTGTGAAAGGGTCGTTCGACCCCCAAAGGGGTCGCAACACACAGGTTGAGAACCGCTGTTCAAGGAGAACTCCCTCGCTCCTGTCCGCTCAGTGCTGACCACAAGACAGTAGATTGAGCAGTCTCTTCATCTGGGGTCGCTGCTTCCTCAGCACTCCTGGCTGAGTGGGTGAAACCTGGGCCATCTCATTCATTTCCCACTCTCCCCAGAATTCAGGATCTAAATCAGTGCCCCTGGAGCTGTGCTTCTGGAACATTCCACATCAGAATCACCCAGGGAACTTAAATATGCAAATCTCATGCCCTCACCCTGAGTCTTCTCTTGGGATGGGGCCAGAAGTCTGCATTTGAACAAGCTGGGGTGGGGGTGGGATGCCTGATGGGCCAGGAGGCTGTCTTGTGGTTTTCTGTGTCTCTGTCATGTTCTCCCAGGAGCCAACTTTTCATGTCGCCTACAGAGCCAAGCTGATGGCCACAGTTGATAAGGCACCCCCATGGTTGGAGTCACTTAGTGGCCTTTTCTTGGGTTGCTGTCCAACCTCATGCTCCGCATTGCTACCTAGAGCTGAGGCTGTGGGCTGCAGTCCCAGTGAGCACAGACAGGGCCTGCTGTTTATCAAGGCAAGCAGACCAGTGTGAAGACAACAGCCAGGCACATCTTGGACCTACCTGTCCATGACCTGAGAACTCTAAGCCATCTGAGGCTCTGTCAGGATCCTGTTAAAGTACAAGGAGGGGGAAAATTATATTTTCAAAGCTTATCAGGTTTGTTTGGCTCAGTGGATAGAGCGTCAGCCTGCGGACTGAAGAGTTCTGGGTTTGATTCAAGTCAAGCACACATGCCGGGGTTGCGGGCTTGATCCCAGGTAGGGGGCATGCAGGAGGCAGCCAATCAGTGATTCTCTCTCATCACTGATGTTTCTATCTCTCCCGCTCCCTCTCTGAAATCAATAAAAATATATTTTTAAAAAAAGAGGTAGTTGGGTAGCTTTTTGGTCAGGGCACATGCCCTGGTTGCAGGCACAATCTCTGGTGGGAGGTGTGCAGGAGGCAGCCAATCTGACTCTCTCTACAAGGAAAGCACCCTGAACTCTATATAATGAGCCCTGATGTATTTCTCTCATCAATGTTTCTATCTCTCTTTCCCTCTTCATCTCTCAAAGAAAAAACAATAAAAACATTTTTTTAAAGTGGTACAGTGCACAATAAAACACAAAATGTCTTCAGATGGTGGCTTTTGTGAGACAGTCATGGAGGAGTGGAGTGTTATGGGGGGTCAGGGAGCCAGGCTTCTGGAGACAAAGCCCAGAAGTAATACTTGTACCTGAAGCAGGAGCAGCTCCCTTCTCTCCCACCCTGGAATTCAGACCGCTCAGGGAAGGATCTGGACTTCCTAGGTGTGGAAGGGGGTGTCAGACAATTGAATGGGTTTTTAAGGGACGGGGAGACGTCCGCTGAGGTCCAGCTAACCCCAGTGAGACTTTCACTAAGGCAGTGCGATGTGTAGGTCTGTCCTCATGGGGCTCATGAGTGGCCTCTCAGGGGCCAGGTTCTCTTTGAATCTTAGGGGTTGAACTGTGTCCCTCCACAAAGTCGTACGCTGAAGCCCTAACCCCCAGTACTTCAGAATATCACCTTACCAGGAGACAGGGTCTTTGTGAAGGGAATCAGGTTAAATGAGGTCACTAGGGTAGGCCCTACTCCAATAGAACCAGTGTCCTCATAAAAGTGGGAAGTTAGCAGACAGGCATGGACACAGGGAGAATGCCATGTGAACATGAAGACGGCATCTACAAACCTAGGAGGCTTCCCTTGCAGCTTCGGAAGGAACCAACTCTGCCAACAGCTTGATTTAGACGTCTAGCCCCCAGAACTGTGAGGAAATCAGTTTGTGTTGTTTAGCCACCCAGTCTGTGGTGCGTTGTTCCGGCAGCCCTGGGTCCCTAATACAGAGGGCAGACAGTGGCTGTGCTGAGCTGTGTGGGGCTTTGGCCCAGAGTTGGGTATTAGGGAAGAGCTGAGGGGTGAGCAAGGCTATGTGTGACAAAGCCACCTCAGGGGTCTTGCAGGTCTTGCCATGTCCGGAGCCTGTCGCTGCTATCGAACCTCTGGACTCTGAAGCTGGGGTGCACTCTGTTCGAGGGACCTGGTGGACATTCCAGACATTCCCCTGCACCTTGATTCCCCAGTGGGAAGCTCTTGATTCTGGAAGCTCTGAGAAATGCTCCAACCTGCTTTTGAAATCTGCACTTTCCTCTTCCCCTCCTCTGCCTCAGGCTGATGAGCGAACAAGGAGGAGACCCATTCCTGGTCTCAGAGATTCCCTGGTTCAAAGAGTGGAGGAGCCATGGTCAGAGTTTAGGGATGTGCCCTCCCCTCCCTGAGCCCTTAGACCTCCCTCTTCCTGTCTTTCCTCCTCCTCTTTCTGTTTTTGTCTCATCCCCCCCACGCCCCCCCACGCCACTCCACACTGTGAGTTAGCCCTACTTCATTCTCTAGGGCAGGTCACCCTGTCCTCCTCCAACCCCCCAGGCCCTCCTCTGCTGCTCTGAAATCAGCTGACCTCTTTCTCGTGCAGAAACCTCAGAAACCTCAGCTAGCTCTGTGCTGGGAGGATGTGGGAGAGAAGGTGATTGGCTCACTGGGGGCCTTAAATGAGCTGCAACCAAAGAAATTCTGGAGAAGAGGCTGCTCCTCTGAAACACTTCTCATACCTGTTCCTCGCCATCAAGCCACAGCCCTCTGAACCCTGAACAACCATGTGCTACTGCAAGGTGAGTGAGAGCAAATGAGGAGGGGACAGTAGCCCTGGAGTCCCCTTTCCCACTGTGTGTTTGTTCCCCTCTCCCACCAGTGCAACCCCACCCTAGCTGATCTCTACATGCACCCGGCTCTGTTCCATTCTCCCGGGCCACAGGGAGACCCCTGGAAGGAGGGTGTCATGAGAATGTGACCTGTATGGTCATTGTGATGGCCCTGAGCCTGGTTGATTGAACGCTATCCTGGCACCAAACTGAAATTCTGAATAATTCTTGACAAAGGCCCCACAGTTTCATTTTGTGCTCAGCCTTTCACTTCATGTAGCAGGTTCTGTTTGTGGGGCCAAAACTCATGTCCAGGAGAGAAATGATGGGGGCAGCTCTGTGAGTATGAGAAGAGTGGTGTGTGTGTGTGTGTGTGTGTGTGACTGAGAATGAGTCTTATGGGACAAAGTGTTACTTTAACAATTAGGCCTGACATATTTGTGGGAAGAGCTGGAGAATGGAGGGTCTATAGGTGAGAAGAAACACCAATCCCAGTAGATCCTTTATATCTTAATACCCTGAAGGTGGGAGGTGGGAGGTGGGAGGTGGGCGGTGGGAGGTGGGAGGTGGGCAGTGCTTTCCTGGGAACTTAAAAATCCTCTCAGGTGCCTGGGCCAGCAGCCCAGTACTGGCATTGGCCTCAGTGTCTATTCCTCCTTTTCGTGGTGCCTTCCAACCTCCCCCACCCTACCATCGCCCCCAGCCCCACCCGCACCCTAACCATGAGGTTGGCTGATGCTCCAGGATGCTTTGGGATGGTGACCAAGGGATCGTGGAATCATCGTTGAGGAATAAAGTGATCCAGGGCTCAGTGACCAGATTGGGGCCATAAGGTGGAGACTCTTGAGGAAGTCTATGGGGAACTCCCTGCCTCCTTGGTTGAGCCAAGGGTTTAGGGGTGAAAAGGGCCTGGGGTGCTGTGGGCCTGCAAGGTCAGCAGTCAGGAAGAGCAGCTGGATGGAGGCACCGCTGTGTCTGTCCCCTCCTCAGAGAGGGATGGCCACTGCCAATTCCTCCCTCAGCCAACTCTCACCGGTACCACAGAGGGTTGGGTATCTGGGAACCAGATTGCCCTGCACACTCCAGAACAATGTTCATACTTGTACGCTTGTGTGTCATGATGAGTGTGAGTGTGTGAGCATGTGTACCACAGGTCTGGGGGTTGGTAAGTCATATAAGATCTATGTCACTGTTACCTCCACAGACATTCCCAGAAAATATTGAGAAAATGAGGAGTAAAATGGTAAGAAGCTCTTCCCCATGTATAGATAGGGTGTGGGCGGGGGCCTGGGTTTTACTGTGGGAGGCTAAGAATGTTCTGACCCTCCTGGGGTCCAGGAGGGAGAAGGATCAGATCTCTTTGTTCCAACTCTATTTCTTTTTACAGAAGGCAACTGTAAAGGTATTATGGGATGGACACAAATCCAAAGAAGAGGACCAGGTGGGTCAGGGTTCCCACTCCTGTTCTCTGTACCATTTGGGTGGGGTAGTTTCACAATGATGATGATAATGATGATGATGATGATGATGATGATGACGGTGACGATGATGATAATGAAGGTGCCACCTCAGGTTGGCTCATTCCTTACACTGGACAAAATTCACACCTGTGTGGCGGGTGAGTACACAGTTGGGGGATAGGAAGGCCCAGGGAGCTTGAGAGGCGTCATAGTCATAGGTATACTGATGAAAGAGCAGGTCTCCAGGCACATGGCTGGACCAGTTATGGGGAGATGGCGAGCTGAGAACAGAGGATAGGACTGAAAATGAGTGAGGCCGGGGGAATTTAAACAAAGTCATTTTTTCCCAATGGATCCACATAGGCCTAGAAGAGCTGGAGGTGAGTTTTGGCCTCCCCGCTCCCCCAAAACTCAGCCCCCAGGAGTTTGGCTGGGCCAGGTTATTGGGGTGAGCTTTGGCTCCCTTGGAGGTCACAGTGGGGACTACAGACCACAGCAGGCAGGAGCAGGTCTGCAGCCTCCCACCCTCTTCTCCTCAGAACAACTTCAATGAGGCTGCGCTTGATACCGTATTTGCTCACTGTGAGAACAACCCGGTGAGTCTGAGGCTCCTGTCAGAGCCCTCTGTGCTTCCCCTTCACCCCTAATCGCTTGTGATGTTGGCACTGCCATGTGCATACACAGCCCCTGAGTGGGGAGGGGATGGAGATGTGGCTGGCACCAGCTCCTGACCTCCCCACCCAGCACACAGTGGCCAAAGCCCTGCCCTCAACTTCATGCATTAATGAAGAACCCCCTGGGCCTGGTGCTGGCCTCAGAGGCCAGTCAGCCAACAAGCAGGTATGACCATCGTGGTTTAGCTACAAAGGGGAGTTGGGGCGCTGAACCTCCGCCAGAAGTCTTTGTCTGTGGACTGCAGGCAGCTCCCTGTGTGAGCTTCTGTCAGGACCTGGTCGGACCCTACACATGCCCCACCCCCACAGGAATCTACTCCCTTACTTCCGGAGCAGCAGCAGGAACTGCGTAACAGAGTCCGTAGCAGAGTCTGCCCTGGACAGAAACCAGGCCCGGAGTGGGACTCTGAGGCAGATGGATCGCACAACCAAAGTCCAGGTGATTTTGAGAGGATGTTAATTAAAGCCGGGAACAGTGAATCCGGGTGATTCAACACGGCCACAGAGATATTACGTCTCTATTTACTTGAATTTCAAGTGTTTCTTACACGTTCCTAATCATTTCCCGGGAGTATCATTGTGTATTTTAAGAGTTTTTCCACAATTAGACAGTTTTCTTAGCAGTATATACATGAATCTTCAGGATTCAACTGTTTTATAAAAAAATAAATAAATAAATAAAATAAAGCTGGGGACAGTGAAATGAGGAGGACTTCGGATAGAAGAAGCACCAGCAGAGAGCCTAGGCGGGGCTCCTTTGGCTCTCTGGAAATTTAGAGAAAAGGGGGGCCTTGGAGACAGGTTTGGGGGGTGGTCAGTCCAGATGAGCTGCTGCTGCTCACTGCTCCTCTGGTTGCAAGTCTCCTGGGGACCCAGGGTTTAGGCGATGCATGCCTGAAAGGGAAGAAAGGTGTGGGCTTGCTCCTGGTTCTTTGTCTTGAGGGTTTAAAGGCTGGGAGTTTAGAGGAGGTCTTGGGGAAGGATCTCAATAGAATATTCATCACCTTTATGCTGATGTGCCAAAATGAGATGTGTTCCTTTAACTTCAGCTGTGCTTGAGTGTGGTTGGCATTAATTAGATTTCTGCTAACTATCTCCCTGAATGGGGTGATTTAAGCTATTTACTCCCTGTTTTGGGAGGAGAAGTATGAGCCTCTTAGTCTTTTTTTTTTTAATCCTCACCTGAGGATATGTTTATTGATTTTAGAGACAGAGGAAGGGGGAGAGAGATAGAGAGAGAGAGAGAAGGAGAGAAACATCTATGTGAGAGAGAAACATTAATTGGTTGCCTCTTGTATTGCTTTGAATAGAGATTGAACGTGCAAGCTAGGTATGTCCCCTGACTGGGAATCGAACCCACAACCTGTGTTGGTGTACGGGATGATGCTCTAAACCAGTGATGGTGAACCTTTTGAGCTCGGCTTGTCAGCATTTTGAAAAACACTAACTTAATTCTGGTGCTGTATCACATACAGAAATTTTTTAATATTTGCAACCATCTACACTAATAAAAGACAAACATGCAAATTGACCCTACCTTTGCTATGCCTTAAGCCACGCCCACCAGCCAATCAGAGTTACTATATGCAAATTAACCTAACCAAGATGGTGGCCGGCAGCCACAGAGCTGGAGCAAGCAGGAGGCTTGGTTGCCCCAGTGATGGAGGAAGCTAAGCTTCCCGCCCGCCCTGGCTGGCTCTGAGCTCCACTCAAGGCTACAAAGTTTCAATTATAGAAGATAAATAAATCCCAGAATAAACAAAGAAAAAAGAAAAAAAGGAGAGGCTGGGAGCTTCCGTCGCCAGGGGCTTGGCCAGCCTGAAAATGGCCCTTAGCCCCTCACCCAGACTGGCCAGGCACCCCAGTGGGGACCCCCACCCTAAACGGGGTGTGGCCAGCCTGAAAACAGCCATCTGCCCCTCACCCAGGCTGGTCAGGCACCCCAGTGGGAACCCCCACCCTGAAGGGGGTGTGACCAGCTGCAAACAGCCATCAGCCCCTCACCCAGGCTGGCCAGACACCCCAGTGGGACCCCCACCCTGATCTGGGACACCCTTCAGGGCAAACCATATGCAAATTGACCCTAACAGCAGAACGACTGGGAATGACTGGTCACTATGACACACACTGACCACCAGGGGCCAGATGCTCAATGCAGGAGCTGTCCCCTGGTGGTCAGTGTGCTCCCACAGGGGGAGCTCTGCTCAACCACAAGCCAGGCTGATAGCTGCAAGCACAGCAGTGGTGGCAGGAGCCTCTCCCGCCTCCTCAGCAGCACTAAGGATGTCCGACTGTAGCTTAGGTCTGCTCCCTGCTGGTAAGTAGACATCCCCCGAGGGCTGCCGGGCTGCCAGAGGGATGTCTGACTGCCAGCTTGGGCCCGATCCCCCAGGGAGCGGGCCTAAGCCAGCAGGTGGACATCCTCCAAGGGGTCCCAGACTGCAAGAGGTCATAGGCCCGGCTGAGGGACCCCCCCCCCCCGAGTGCACAAATTTTTGTGCACCGGGCCTCTAGTAGTAAAATAAAGACTTATATTTTTAATATTTATTTTATATATTTAAATGCCATTTAACAAAGAAAAATCAACCAAAAAAATGAGTTTGCGTGTCATCTTGACACGCGTGTCATAGGTTCGCCATCACTGCTCTAAACCATTTACTCTTGTGTCCCTGGAGGGAAGACAGGATTTTGCAATATACTAGTATTAGTTGGCTGTAAAGGCTTGGGTGTTTAACTATCTGTCTCAGTTTCCCTATTCCACTTGCCCTGGCTTCCTAACTAGTCTCTCTCACAGGGGCCCAGCAGCCTGGGGAGAGCTTTTGTGAATGGATAATGAGGTTGTTCCGAGAGATGCTAAGGCGACTAAAGAAGATGTGGAAGGACCTGCTGGCCTGGGTGCAGGAGAAGTGGGCCTCCTTTGTCAGCAAGGTGAAGTACATCTGGAGTGAGATTAAGGATTTCTGCTCCCGTGTGGCAAAGTACTTCTCAAGTTTATTTCAGTTCTAAGGAGTCCAATGAGGGCCTGGAGGAGCTCAGTCACACCTCCCAGCACTTGGATTCCCCCCTTCTCAGAAAGAATCTTCTAGAGTAACATTTGCTTTCCTGCTCACCCTTGACCCATCCTTGACAACCTCCCTCACTTCCACCCTGTTCACAGCCTCTCCACCTAGGTTTCCTGGGTTTCCTTCTCTTGCTACAGCATTTTAATAAACGTTGGTTCGCCCAGGGAGGGGGCAGGGGTGGGGGGAGGAGGTCAATGGGGAAAAGGGAGATCTGTAATATTTCAACAATAAAGGTAATTTGCTTCAAAAGTTGATTGAACCAAGTTGAGTGCCCGTCTGGGTGGGTGGCAGGGTGCTCAGTGGTTACAGGGAGAGGCTGTGCAACAATCAGATGGATCTAGGCCTGGATCTCGGCTCTGGTGAGAAAGGAGAAGCCACCTGACCTCTCTAATCTGTAGACAGGGCGCTGGTCACACTGGCCACGGACTTATAATGAGCACATGAGGATGTCAGCCTGTGCACGGCTTCTCGCAGGGCCTGGCACATAGTAAGTGCTCCATAGCTGCCCGTTCCTGAACACAAGGCTGAGGGACTTGGGCCCCTTTTCTTTTCCTGACCACCCTCTTTGGGCCTTTGTCACTGGGGCTGGGCTGGGCCTCTGAATCTCCTTCATCTTTCTTCCAAGATCTGAGGCCCAGGGACGGGGGCAGTGGTGGTGGTAGGGAGCAGGCAGAGTGCACTTCTATGTGAGCCTGGAAGGAAGGCAGAGTAGGGAGGGGGCAGCCATCTGATCTCTGGGCTGGCCACCTCACCTGGGACTGCAAATGCAGAGACTGGGGAGAGCCTGGAGCAAGGCCTGAGGCCTGAGGGGGCCAGCACTGCTCACCATCTATGAGGCCAAACGCCTCCAACCCCCCAGCCCTGACTCCCTGCTCCAGGCAGATGCATAAAGACCAGCTTTGCATTCAGGGGTGACAGGCAGCAAACAGCAGCTGCTGAGATGAGATGAAGGTGGGGCTGACCTGAAGCAGGAAGAAATGGGAGGAAGTGGGCCTGATGAAGAGCAAACACCAGCAGTTGGTGTGGGGGGGGGGGAGCCAGGAGACCTGAAGGATGGGGGCATTTCAGTGGGTCAGTATCGCACCCTCCTCTGCCAGCTTCACACCCTTTGGCTGGTAGGAATGATATCTTGATTCGTAGGAGGAGCTCCCAGTAAAGTCCAGCTGTCAGTCCTGCAAGAGGAGCAATGGCTGGACCCGGACCCTTCCAGTAGCTTCTCAATAATCCTGAGGGACCTGCCCCAGCAGGGAGGGCACTAGTGGCAAGGATCTTCCTCACCTTTGGTCCTGGCCCCTACCTTCCTAAGGAAGAAGGCAGCCCCTCTGAGAGTTCCTTTCAGCAGAGCCCCACTCGTGCTCACATCCTATCCTCCTTCATTTCCAGGGGACCCTCTGACATGCCTTCACACTGTAAGGCCCATCTCTGGCCTGAATTCCCCGGCTCCAAGGGCTGCCCACTGCAGGTCTTGACCAGCTTTCACTTACCCTGGTCATGTCCTCACCTCCTCTCCCAGGCACCATTCTTTTTTTTTTTTTATGTTTCCATGGAGTTTTTTAAAAAATATGTTTTTATTGATTTCAGAGAGGAAGGGAGAGGGAGAAAGAGGTAGAAACATCCATGATGAGAGAGAATTATTGATCAGCTGCCTCTTGTACATCCCCTACTCAGAATCGAGCCCACAACCCAGGCATGTGCCCTGACCAGGAATCGAACCGTGACCTCCTGGTTCATAGGTCGATGCTCAACCACTGAGCCACACCACGCCACACCAGCTGGGCTCTTTTAGACATTTATCGGTTTTTTAGAGTGAGAGGAAGGGAGAGATAGAAACATCAATGAGAAGGAAACATTGATCAGCTGCCTCCTTGCACGCCCCCTACTGGGGATGGAGCCTGCAACCTGGGCATGTGCCTTAACTGGGAATCGAACAGGTTGGTTCATGAGTCAACTTCTGAGCTACACCGGCTGGGCATCAGTCATCATTCTTGTTCTTTCAAACCCTGTCCATGAATTTCCCAAGTGACCCTGTATCAAACCTCCACTGACCTCTGCTCATGCCCTCCCACTTAATTCTTCTAACAGAAAAAACTGTCCCCCTGTGCTAAAGCCACCAGGAGCTTTGTGGCCCATCAATCTCTTGAGGTCACCTCCTGGCTCCCCTGCGAGTCTTGCCTCTTTTAAGCAATTTCAGTCCAGTAGCCAAGTTCTAAATGATTTCATTGTTAAAAATGAAATAACTCAACAACCACTTCAAAAATACAACTAAAAGACAAAACGAACATCATCCAGAACCACAGGAAGGCTGGCTCAATGGAAATTCTACAAATAGAAGGAAAGAGATAAGCACACTGAGACTCAGAGGAAGTGCGGAAGTAAAGTGCAGAGGTACGGAGGCGCATGCGGAAAGGGCTGGCAGCTGAGGACATGGTTGTCTTTTTCAATCAGGAGGGAGTCTCAAGCTCCCGACTGCTCTGACCTCCAGTTCCGGGTGAGTCTCTGGGGACCCAGACTCATACGGGGAGAAACTGGACTGTCTGGCATCGGGCAGAACTCGAGGGCGGCTTTCTCTCCGAGGTGCTTGCAGCGATTACCAGGACACTGAGATGTGGGTGGGCCTCATCTGGGCACCTCCAAACTCCAAACAAAGAAGAGGAATCTCTCAATAGCTCCTGCTGGGTAGGCTCAGGCAGAGGCTAAATTAGCACCTTCTTAGAGATCCTAGAGCCAGTGTACCCAGTGGTCAGAGTGGGACCATCCAGATTACAACTCCTCAGATCCATAAGGGACACACCCAGGGGGCAGACTCAGTGAGCACCAAAGCTCCACTGAAGCAAGTCTTGCCCCATAAGGGTATCTCCAGCACAGAAGTTCTCCCACTGCAGACACAGCTGATGATCACAGCCAATTGGCCTGGAGGTCAATTCCTCCCAGTGATACCTACAACAATCAAGGCTTAACTACAACAAGACTGTGCACAAAGCCCACAAAGGGGTGCACCAAGAGTGTCCACCTCAGGTCATTGGGGAGGCTGATCGACTGGGCCCTATAAGACACCTAGCACAGAAAGCCACTCTATCAACACAGGGAAGCATAAAAAATGCAGAGACAAAGAAATAGGTCACAAATGATAGAAATGGAGGAAAGCGAACTACTGGATATAGAGTTCAAAACCACACTTTTAAGGTTATTCAAGAATTTTCTAGAAACCGCCGATAAAGTTAGTGAGACCCTCAAGAAATCTAGTGAGACCCTCGAGGTTATGAAAAAGGACCAACTAGAAATTAAGCATACACTGACTGAAATAAAATATATTATACAGACTCCCAACAGCAGACTAGAGGATCCCAAGGATCAAGTCAAAGATTTGAAATACGAAGAAGCAAAAATCACCCAACAGGAAAAAGGAAAAGAAAAAGAATCCAAAAATATGAAGATAGTGTAAGGAGCCATTGGGACAACTTCAAGCATACCAACATCCGAATTATGGGGGTGCCAGAAGAAGAGAGAGAGCAAGATATTGAAAACCTATTTGAAGAAATAATGACAGAAAACTTCCCCTACCTGGTGAAAGAAATGGACTTCCAAGTCCAGGAAGCGCAGAGAACCCCAAACAAAAGGAATCCAAAGAGGTCCACACCAAGACACATCATAATTAAAATGCCAAGAGCAAAAGACAAAGAGAGAATCTTATAAGCAGCAAGAGAAAAACAGTCAGTTACCTACAAGGGAGTATCCATACAACTGTCAGCTGATTTCTCAATAGAAACTATGCAGGCCAGAAGGGAGTGGCAAGAAATATTCAAAGTGATGAATAACAAGAACCTGCAACCAAGATTACTTTACCCAGCAAAGCTATCATTCAGAATTGAAGGTCAGATAAAGAGCTTCACAGATAAGAAAAAGCTAAAGGAGTTCATCACCACCAAACCAGTATTATATGAAATGCTGAAAGGTATCCTTTAAGAGATGGAAGAAGAAGAAAAAGGTAAAGATACAAATTATGAACAACAAATACACATCTATCAAGTGAATCTAAAAGTCAAGTGAATAAATAATCTGATGACAGAATGAACTGGTGATTATAATAGAATCAGGGGCATAGAAAGGGAGTGGACTGACTATTTTTTGGGGGGAAAGGGGTGTGGGGATGCGGGAAGAGACTGGACAAAAATCGTACACATATGGATGAGGACAGTGGTGGGGAGGGGCGGTAAAGTCAGAGGGTGGGGTGGGAACCGGGTGGAGGGGAGCTATGGGGGGAAAAAGAGGAACAACTGTAATAATCTGAACAATAAATATTCTATTAAAAAAAATGAAATAACTCCCCGCCTAAAAATCTCCTGTGTTCTCAATATGAATGAAGCCCAACCCTGGCCTATAAGGCTCTGCCTGCATCATAGGTCCCTGCAGATCCCCCTCCTGGACAACATTCTTTAGCTGTCTGCCAAGCCTCTCCCATCTCAGGGCCTTTGCCCATGCTGTTCCCTCTGTGCGGGAGGCCTTTCCACCCTCCTGAGGCTGCCTCCCTCTCTCTACTGGAGTCTTTGTTCCCCTCAAAAGCCCACACAGTCCCTGGCATACAGTAGGTGCTCAATAAATAATAAGCTTTCAGTGCCGTGGGTTCTCCCAGCTCCTCTCAGTCTCCTGGTTGACCAATCCTTCCTCTTTGAAGTTTCTTCCCCTGGGGTTTTCCAGGAGTTGAATGTGTTGTGTGACATCTGGTGGCTCTCTATACCCCAATCTTCCTCCCAACCCCCAAAATGCTGACCTTTGCTAGACTCAGAGCTTTCCCACCCACCTCCCTTAGTCCCCTGAGCCATGGTGAATAAGTTCTCTAACTTTCTACAAAAACTTGTTAAAGAGCAGTTATGTGTCAAGTGGAGTGGAGGGGCCACAGAAACTCAGACACAGCATTTTTGTGGGTGAAAAGGCAGACAACAGGAAGTTCTGATGTGCTCTGGAGCTGGGGTGGGCTGTCTTCGTCTCCTGTATTTCTTTTTCATAATTTGTGTATTTTAATGTTTTGTTAATTGATTTCAGAGAGAGAAAGGAAGAGGGAGAGAGAGATAGAAACAACAGTTGGCTGTCTCCTACAGCCCCCTACTGAGGATTAAGCCTGCAACCTAGGGAATTGAACTGGTGACCTCCTGGTGCATGGACCAACACTCAACCATTGGCCCACACCAACCATTGGCCAGGCTCTCCTGTATTTTTGTTAGAAATCATATGATTTAGTCCGGCCGGCATAGCTCAGCGGTTGAGCATCAATCTATGAACCAGAGGTCACTGTTGGATTCCTGGCCAGGGCACATGCCGGAATTGTGGGCTCGATCCCCAGTAGACGACAGTGAAGGAGGCAGCCTATCAGTGATTCTGTCTCATCACTGATGTTTCTATCTCCCTCGCCCTTCCTCTTTGGAATCAATAAAAGTATATATTTTTTAAAAGGTAAGACACTTCCAAATAAAACATTTCAAAATTTTATATATATATATTTACTATTATTTTTATTTTTTTAAATAAATCTTTATTGTTCAGATTATTACAGTTGTTCCCCTTTTCTCCCCCCATAGCTCCCTTCCACCCAGTTCCCATCCCACCCTCTGCCCTTACCCCCCCCCCCCCACTGTCCTCATCCATAGGTGTACACTTTTTGTTGCTGGGTCAAAGGTCATACACATGGAAAATGTAGCTATTTCCATCCGCGACATGTCCCTGTGTTCGGAAAGGTCTCTCACGACTTGTTCACGCTCTACTTAGAAAGGGTACGGAAGACACATAACGGCTTTTTAAAATAACGTGACCTCTTATGCTTAAACTGAGGATTTTGCTACCAGAAGCGAGGAGCAAGCAACACTTCCGCTGCTCTCGCCCCTCTCGTCCTTCGGGTGATAGTTGTGCTTGGGGCTGCGCGTTGGTTCGCAGGCCATCGACAAAGCCCCCTGGGCAGCTCACGCGGTTCCGCCGGCTTCCCAGGGGCCTTCACAGCCTCACAAGGACCGTTTCAGTCCCATTGGGATGGTTTCAGATTCACAGGGACCGTTTCAGCCCCACTGGGACCGTCTCAGCCTCACAGGGACCGTCTCAGCCTCACAAGGACCGTTGCAGCCTCACTGGGACCATGTCAGCCTCACAGGGACCGTCTCAGCCTCACTGGGACCATTTCAGCCTCACTGGGACCATTTCAGCCCCACTGGGATCAAAATTATATTAATTGACTACTGCTGTTATATGAATATAGAACTCTATCCCAGAAGGCATACAATGTAATATCAAAACTGAGAAGAGAGAGAAAAAAAGGAAAAAACAAACTGAGAAGAGCAAATTGGTTCCAATTTGAGCAACAAAGGGTTTGATGGGTAGTGGCCACCACGCTGTGTAGAAAAGGGTCACCAGGCTAATTTGCCCTCATCAAGGAAATCCCTGAGCTGTGCTTGCCATGGGCGCTGGAGGGAAGGCCAGAGGGAGATTTGCATTTGACATCCCGAATCTCACCCAGAGCTTTCCCTTTGAAGAGAAGGAATGTGATGCCATCTTCTTTGTCGTGTTAGTTTAGTCTTAAGTCAGCATCTAAGGCAAATATAAAGGCATTTTAATATTGTGGATGATTCTTTTGAAATTATTTCTTTCAATCCCTGTTATCAACACAGAGCCGACTTCATTTTGCTTTCCTCTCTGGCATTATCATCAAGTTAGTGAATGTAATTCCTTTTTTCATCCTCAGTTCTTTCTGCACTCTGCCTTTAATTTTTTTCTTTAGACCAGCGATTTTCCATCTTCTTTATCCGATGGCACACATAAATTACTAAAATCCTGCGGCACACCAAAAATATATTTTTTGCCCATCTGACCAAAAAATAGGTATAATTTTATTCATTCACATTGGATGGCTATTGTGTTGGATGCTGTCACTTTTTTATTTGACAATCTAAGGGAAAGAGGTCAGTGCCCATGACTACATCGTCAGGTATTGCACGTTGTAAAACTTCTTGCAGCACACCGCTTGAAAATCGCTGGCTTAGACACTTCTGGTCACATGTAGACATTTATCCAATTATCTCTCTTTTGACCAAATATTTTTCTCTTCTGTTTTTTGTTTTATTCCTGATTAAGAGAAAACTACCAGTATTGTAACAGATATTAAGTTCTAGTAGCCAGTTAATGAATGATGAATTTTAACACTCATTAAGTACAAGTGTCAGCTTAACTAAAAAACAACACAAGCAACACACACAAAGAAAACTGTCCAGCCCTAGCCGGTTTGGCTCAGTGGATAGAGCATTGGCCTGGGGACTGAAGAGTCCCAGGTTTGATTCCAGTCAAGGGCAAATGCCCTGGGTTGCGGGCTGGATCCTCAGTAGGGGGTGTGCAGGAGGCAACCGATCAATGATTCTCTCTCATTGATGTTTCTATCTCTCTCTTTGTCTGAAATTAATAAAAATATATTTAAAAAAGAAAAGAAACAAAAACTGTCCAGCCCAGCCAGATAGTTCAGTTGGTTAGAGTGTTAGCCCAATAGGTCAAGGTTGCAGGTTCAATCCTGTCAGGGCACATACAAGAATAAACCAATGAATGCCTAAATAAGTGGAACAACAAATCCATGTTTCTCTCTCCCTTTGTCTCTCTCAAATAAAAATAGTCCTGCCTGGAGTTGGCTGGAACATCGTCACTGTTAGGGTCACCAAAGGAGGAACGCACGAGGCCCAAAGGGGTAAAGAATTATGAATTTATTAGGTCACTGGAAAACCAAATGGGCCGAGCCCCAAAGTGCACCAGCACCCAGGGACTTGGAGTCAGCGATTCTAAAGGACTCTAGGCGGGCATTTTCTGGGCGGAGAAATCTCTGGGCGGGTCCTGAGGGGAAAGATAATGGTCTTAGCAAGTGGAATGTGGTCTCAGCAAGTGCTAAGCAAAAGGGAATGTCTGTTGTGAAGTGGCCTAAAGGCCAGTTCCCAGGGGAGGGTCTCCATTCAATTATTCCATCAGATCTAACAGCCTCGCACACCTGGTCAAGGCACATACCTGGGTTGTGGGTTCAAGCCCTAGTCAGGGTGCAGGTGGAAGGCAACCAATCAATGGTTCTCTTTCGTATCCATGTTTTTCTCTCTCTTCCTTCCTTTCTCTAAAAAATTCAAGTAAAAAAACCTGTCCATGGGAGGGGGAGACAGGCCAAGAATGCCTGATGGGTGGGAAAAAGAAGGTGGGGGGCACACTGACAATCCAGCTTTGGGTTTAGAGCAGCGGTTCTCAACCGGTGGGTCTGGACCTCTTTGGGGGTCAAACGACCCTTTCACAGGGGTCACCTAAGAACATCGGAAAACACATATATAATTACATACTGTTTTTGTGATTAATCACTATGCTTTAATTATGTTCAATTTATAACAATGATATCGGGGTCACCACAACATGAGGAACTGTATTAAGGGGTCGTGGCATTAGGAAGGTTGACAACCACTGGTTTAGAGGATTGTAAGTAGTCAGGGGTCCCCAGCTGATAACCTGACTTAGCTGCAGGCAGGTTTCATTTCACCTGCTAGCATTTCCCATTTGAATTAGTTACCAACATTCCCAAACAGTTTCCCATAATCGTCCAGAAACTGGGACTTTAAATTTTATTCAATCTTATTTAATTTAAAGAGCCACCTATGGCTAGAGGATACTGTATTGGACAGCACAGATAGGGTCCACTCCAGAGGAGAAATCCAGGGTGAGGTTCCCTCCTCTCTCACACAGCCCACTCCGGGCCTTCTTGGGTGGCGGGGGGTGGTGGTGGTGCTCCGGGCCTTTCTGGGATGGGGGGGAGGGAGAAAGCCACCAGTGTGACAGTCAGGAGGGTGATGGATGTCTTTAGGGTAAATGTAAAAAAAAGAAAGAGGAGTCCCGGTTTGGCTCAGTGGGTAGAGCTTCGGCCCATAGACTGAAGGATCCTGGCTTTGATTCTGGTCAAGGGCACGTACCATGGATGAAGCTCCTCCCTGGCCTGGGCCCTGGTCGGGGCACGTGCAGGAGGCAACCAATCGATGTGTTTCTCTCACATCGATATTTCTGTTTTTCCCTCTCTCTAAAAATCAATTAAAAAAATCCTCAGGTGAAGATTAAGAAAAAAAGAAGAAGGAAGAAGAAGGCTGTTTTAGGGCAGGCCTCTGTGGTGGCCATGGGGCAGCACAGACGCTGGGGGCAATGCCGTGCCTGCTGTGGGGTTCAAGTCCCAGCCCTGTGGCCCTGTGGGCAGAGGCACACCGGTTCACAGCAGAGGAGAGGAACCAAGTTATGCTTGACCTTAAAGCAGCAGGAGGGTCAGAATTAAATGGGAGATGCCATCCACAAACAGTTCTTCAAAAATTTCAATCAGGCATTTGGCTTTCTGTCTCGAGTTGCCCTATAAGCAGAAAAAATAAGTCACTGGGAATGGTTCAATGTATACAAAAAAGCCCAGATCACTCTCACCTCACATGGCTGTGGTGGACTGACCAAAAGAGGCGTGAAACTGGCCACGTTTATTGAAAAAGCAGCGGCTTCCGGGTGATTTCTCCCAAAATGCATATAAAATCTTATAAACCTCTTAGGTGTAATATATTTTGAAGACAATTTATATGAACAATTTAAGTTGTACATTTAGTTCACCTTTATGCTACATTTTGTAAAATTAATGCTTAAGTACAAAATGATTGTTTTTAAAGGCTCTTTTATTTGGGCATTTTCAAATACATTCCTGCCAGGAAGAGATGCTTCCGGGGAAGGGAAGAGCTAACGCAGGGTTCACCTGCGCCAGAGGGAGGTGGTGTGGGCCGGGCCAGGGTGGGTGAGGCCAGGACCTACCCTGCAGGCCCGGGCTGCCAGGAGGCCAGGGAGAGGCCTGCTGGGCAAGCTGCTAGTACAGGGTCTCCCGGGAGTGGGGTCTCAGGTGGGCCACTATCTGCGCCTGACTCCATCCTGAGGCCCTTTTACCAGGGTCCTGTTGGGGAGCCCACCAAGTACCGCCTGTCCCAGGATGACCGTGAAGGCCTGCAGCAGCTCTACGGTACAGGGAGTTGTGTCGGGGGCGCTCCCCATGTGGCCTCTGCGGCAGCGTTGGGGAACACATGTCTCTCTGACTCTCTCTACAGGGAAAGGACCCCAGACCCCATATGATAAGCCCACAATGAAACCCCTGGCTCCTCCTCCCCCGCCCCCTGCCCTGCCCCCAGGCAGGTGAGTCCTCCTCCAGCTTTGCCCTCTTGGGTGAGCTTCCTACCCGTGGAGTCCTCTTTGGTGAGAGGGCTTGGTAAGGGTCCCTGCCCCATAGGGCTGTCCTCAAGGTGAAGTACAGACAGGAGGAGCCCTGACCCCTTTCTCCTCACCTCTCCTTTCCTCCTCAGCCCCTCCCTTCCTGTCCCTGATCGATGTGATGGCAATTTTGATGCTATCGCCAACATCCGTGGGGAAACCTTCTTCTTTAAAGGTGAGTCACTCCGGTCTTCCCCGGCCCCGTAGAGTTGGTTTCCTACCCACTTAGGGTGACCCACCAGGCCCGTGGGGTTTCCCAGGATGTGGACTTTCAAGCTGGGTGGGAGTGGCTCCCTGTGGAGCACACCAGTGACTGCCCTTCCCAAATCCCTTTCTTTTCCCAGCGCACACTCTTTGAAGCTCACCTGAGCCTCTCCGCCCCCACCTCCCCCAGGCTCTATCCTTGCTTTTTCTCTTAAGCCAGTGATGGCGAACCTATGACACGCGTGTCAGAGGTGACACGCAAACTCATTTTTTTGGTTGATTTTTCTTTGTTAAATGGCATTTAAATGTATAAAATAAATATCAAAAATATGTCTTTGTTTTACTATGGTTGCAAATATCAAAAAATTTCTATCTGACACGGCACCAGAGTTATTAGGGTTTTTCAAAATGCTGACACGCCGAGCTCAAAAGGTTCGCCATCACTGTCCTAAGCCCTACTTTTCCCTCTGTAACTTGCCTCCTGAGCCCACCCAGCCCAGCTGGCTCACTTATCCCAGAGCTCACTTCTACCTGTGTGACTTTCTATATAAACTTTTGCTTGTATTTGAAACACAAACAAAGTGGAGCTGGAGGTAGAAGGAAAGTCCTGGGCCATCTGGTCACCCTAGAGCAGTGGTTCTCAACCTTGGCTGCACATTAGAATCACCTGGGAATCTTTTTAAAATCCTGATTTTTGGTCTCATCCTCCGGAAATTCTGTTTCTTGGTTACTAATGTTGTGGCCTCACCCCATAACAAAGAAACAGAATTTCTGGAGGAGGAGGCCCAGAAATCAGGATTTTTAAAAGATTCCCAGGTGATTCTAATGTGCAGCCAAGGTTGAGAACCACTGCCCTAGAGCCACTGGGCCCTTTGGTTTCCAGATGGACCTTCCACCCAGCACTAAATCCCAGCCACACACCCTAGGGGACAAGACCACTTGCCACCTCATGCTCCAGGCCCATCCCTTCTCCCACAGGCCCCTGGTTCTGGCGCCTCCAGCCCTCAGGACAGCTGGTGTCCCCCCGGCCTGCCAGGCTCCACCGCTTCTGGGAGGGGCTGCCCCCCCAGGTGACTGTCATCCAGGCTGCCTACACCCGGCACCCAGACGGCCGAATCCTACTCTTCAGTGGTGAGTGGGGCGCCCCCCTGGGACGCGCGGGGCGTGGGAACAGTTGCTCAGCAGGCTCCCTCCTGCAGGCCCGCAGTTCTGGGTGTTCCGGGACCGGCAGCTAGAGGGCGACGCGCGGCCGCTGGCCGAGCTGGGGCTGCCCTGCGGGGAGCAGGTGGACGCCGCGTTCTCTTGGCCGCTGAACGGGAAGACCTACCTGGTCCGGGGCCACCGCTACTGGCGGTACGACGAGGCGGCCGCGCGCCCGGACCCTGGCTACCCGCGCGACCTGAGTCTCTGGGAGGGGGCGCCTCCCAGCCCCGACGATGTCGCCGTCAGCAACGACGGTAGGAGAGCCCGCGCCCCGGCTGGCCAGCTGCTGGCCCTGGGGTTGGGACTGGAGGTCGTCCTGGGGGTGCGGAGGGGTCCTCGGGTGGGCGGGGCGGGGGCAGCCGGCACCAGCCCTGCAGCTGTCTGCCCGCCTTGCAGGTGCCACCTACTTCTTCAAGGGCGCCCACTACTGGCGCTTTCCCAAGGGCAGCGTCAAGGCCGATCTGGACTCCCCGCAGCCCATGGGCCCCCAGTGGCTGGACTGCCCGGCCCCCAGCGCTGGCCCTCGCTACCCCAGACCCCCCAAAGCGACTCTCAAGCCCGAACCCTGCAATTGTCATTGCGAGATCAACCAGGCCGCTGGGCGCTTGTCCTCGTCTTCGTCGTCGGTGACCCTCCTGCTGCTCCTTCTGCCCCTGCTGGTGGGGGACATCACCTCCCGCTGAGGGGGGACAGGCCGCTCCACGGCGGGGCCGGTTCTCCCACCACCGGCCTGTACAGTGTAGGGGGTGGTGATGGCCTGTGGGGGGTGGTGATCGCTGCCCTGCCCCATCCTCTGTTCCCTGGGCGGGCCCAGCAAGGTGGGTGGAGCTAAGCCCTGGGAGTAGGGGGTGAGAGGGTGGGGTGGGTGGGGCACGAAGGCTGGCCCTGGACCGAACACAGGAAGTGCTCAGCCCCGCCTCCTCCAAACCCGCCTCCCCCTGCTTTGGCCCACCCAGGATGTGCATTTCCCGGAATGGCTGGCTTTTCTCAGAACACAGCCTGCTGACTCCTTGCAGCACAAGCCCTGCCTGACAACAGCGGCTCATGTGCATGGGTCTTTAGAGGACAGGCCTGATCAGGAGACTGAGCCCCAGCACCCCCCCCTCCCCCCACTTTTCCAGAAGTGTCTCACCCTGTTTTTCTTCCACCAGGTCCCAGTCAACACCACATGGGTGGGGAACTGGGACCCAGTCCTGAGACCACCCCTGGGCACCAGTGCTGCCCGTTCTGGGTGGCACCAATGACCACAAGGGTGACCTTCCACAGTCTGGCCCCTGGACCTCCTTGCTGGTCACCACCCTGAATCCAGAACTGTCCCATTCAATAGGACACCCTCCCCATCTTTAAAAACCTCTTTTTGCCTCCACCCCGTGTGTCTGCAGTTCCCTCAAGGATAGTGGTTCTCAATCTTCCTAATGCCGCGACCCTTTAATACAGTTCCTCATCTCGTGGTGCCCCCCAACCATAAAATTATTTTCATTTCTACTTCATAACTGTAATTTTGCTACTATTATGAATCATAATGTAAATATCTGATATGCAGGATGTATTTTCATTGTTACAAATTGAACATAATTAAAGCATAGTGATTAATCACGAAAACAATATGTAATTATATATGTGTTTTCCAATGTTCTTAGGCAACCCCTGTAAAAGGGTCGTTCGACCCCCAAAGGGGTCGCGACACACAGGTTGAGAACCGCTGTTCAAGGAGAACTCCCTCGCTCCTGTCCGCAAGACAGTAGATTGAGCAGTCTCTCAACCTGGGGTCGAGGCTTCCTCAGCACTCCTGGCTGATGAGTGGGTGAAACCTGGGCCATTTCATTCATTTCCCACTCTCCCCAGAATTCAGGATCCAAATCAGTGCCCCTGGAGCTGTGCTTCTGGAACATTCCACATCAGAATCACCCAGGGAACTTAAATATGCAAATCTCATGCCCTCACCCTGAGTCTTCACTTGGGATGGGACTGTCTTGTAGTTTTCTGTGTCTCTGCCATGTTCTCCCAGGAGCCAACTTTTCATGTCGCCTACAGAGCCAAGCTGATGGCCACAGTTGATAGGGGTCATCCCCATGGCTGGAGTCACTTAGTGGCCTTTTCTTGGGCTGCTGTCCAGCCTCATGATCCACAGTGCTACCTAGAGCTGAGGCTGTGGGCTCCAGTCCCAGAGAGCACAGACAGGGCCTGCTGTTTATCAGGGCAAGCAGACCAGTGTGAAGACAACAGCCAGGCACATCTTTGACCTGTCCATGACCTGAGAACTCTAAGCCATCTGAGGCTCTGTCAGGATCCTTTTTAAGTACAAGGAGGGGGAAATATGTATTGTAAAAGCTTATCAGGTTGGTTTGGCTCAATGGATAGAGTGTCAGCCTGCAGACTGAAAAGTTCTGGATTTGATTCCGGTCAAGGACACATGCCCGGGTTGTAGGCTTGATCCCAGGTAGGGGGCATGCAGGAGGCAGCCAATCAGTGATTCTCTCTCATCACTGATGTTTCTATCTCTCCCTCTCCCTTCCTCTCTGAAATCAATAAAAAATATATATATATTTTTTAAAAAGAGGTAGCTTTTTGGTCAGGGCACAGACACTGGTTGCAGGCACAATCTCTGGTGGGAGGTGTGCAGGAGGCAGCCAATCTGACTCTCTCTACAAGGAAAGCACCCTGAACTCTATATAATGAGCCCTGATGTATTTCTCTCATCAATGTTTCTATCTCTCTTTCCCTCTTCATCTCTCAAAGAAAAAATCAATAAAAACATTTTTTTAAAGTGGTACAGTGCACAATGAAACACAAAATGTCTTCAGATGGTGGCTTTTGTGAGACAGTCATGGAGGAGTGGAGTGTTATGGGGGGGGCAGGGAGCCAGGCTTCTGGAGACAAAGCCCAGAAGTAATACTTTCACCCGAAGCAGGAGCAGCTCCCTTCTCTCCCACCCTGGAATTCAAAGACAGCTCAGGGAAGGATCTGGACTTCCTAGGTGTGGAAGGGGGTGTCAGACAATTGAATGGGTTTTTAAGGGACGGGGAGACGTCCGCTGAGGTCCAGCTAACCCAAGTGAGACTTTCACTAAGGCAGTGCGATGTGTAGGTCTGTCCTCATGGGGCTCATGAGTGGCCTCTCAGGGGCCAGGTTCTCTTTGAGGATCTTAGGGGTTGAACTGTGTTCCTACACAAATTCGTATGCTGAAGCCCTAACCCCCAGTTCTTCAGAATATCACCTTATCAGGAGACAGGGTCTTTATGAAGGGAATCAGGTTAAATGAGGTCACTAGGGTAGGCCCTACTCCAATAGAACCAGTGTCCTCATAAAAGTGGGAAGTTAGTAGCCAGGCATGGATACAGGGAGAATGCCATGTGAACATGAAGACGGCATCTACAATCCTAGGAGCCTTCCCTTCAAGCTTCGGAAGGAACCAACTCTGCCAACAGCTTGATTTAGGCATCTAGCCCCCAGAACTGTGAGGAAATCAGTTTGTGTTGTTTAGCCATCCAGTCTGTGGTGCGTTGTTCCGGCAGGCCTGGGTCCCTAATACAGAGGGCAGACAGTGGCTGTGCTGAGCTGTGTGGGGCTTTGGCCCAGAGTTGGGTATTAGGGAAGAGCTGAGGGGTGAGCAAGGCTATGTGTGACAAAGCCACCTCAGGGGTCTTGCAGGTCTTGCCATGTCCTGAGCCTTTCGCTGCTATCGAACCTCTGGACTCTGAAGCTGGGGTGCACTCTGTTCGAGGGACCTGGTGGACATCCCAGACATTCCCCTGCACCTTGACTCCCCAGCGGGAAGCTCTTGATTCTGGAAGCTCTGAGAAATGCTCCAACCTGCTTTTGAAATCTGCACTTTCCTCTTCCCCTCCTCTGTCTCAGGCTGATGAGGGGATGAGGAGGAGACCCATTCCTGGTCTCAGAGATTCCCTGGTTCAGAGAGTGGAGGAGCCATGGTCAGAGTTTAGGGATGTGCCCGCCCCTCCCAGAGTCCTTTGCCTCCCCTTCCTGTCTTTCCTCCGTCTCTATTTTTGTCTCATCCCCTCCCCCACCCCACACGGTCAGTTAGCCCTACTTTATTCTCTGGTCAGTTAGCCCTACTTCATTCTCTAGGGCAGGTCACCTTCCCCCACCTCTCCTCTGAAATCAGCTGACCTCCTCTGGTGCAGAAACGTCAGCTAGCTCTGTGCTGGGAGGATGTGGGAGAAGGTGATTGGCTCAGTGGGGGCCCCAAAAGGAGCTGCAGCCAAAGGGATTCTGGAGAAGAGGCTGCTCCTCTGAAACACTTCTCGTACCTGTTTCTCGCCATCAAGCCACAGCCCTCTGAACCCTGAACAGCCATGGCCTGCTTGCAGGTGAGTGAGAGCAAATGATGAGGGGACAGTAGGCCCTGGAGTCCCCTTTCCCACTGTGTGTTTGTTCCCCTCTCCCACCAGTGCAGCCCCACCCTAGCTGATCTCTACATGCACCCAGTTCTGTTCCATCCTCCTGGGCCATGGGGAGACCCCTGGAAGGAGGGTGTCATGAGAATGTGACCTGTATGGTCATCATGATGGCCCTGAGCCTGGTTGGTTGAATGCTATCCTGGCACCAAACTGAAATTCCTTTTTTTTTTTTTTTTTTTTATTAATTTCAGAAAGAGGAAGAGAGAGGGAGAGAGAGCTAGAAACATCAATGATGAGAGAGAATCATTGATTGGCTGCCTCCTGAACGCTCCCTAGTGGGGACGGAGCTCACAACCTGGGCATGTGCCCTTGAACCTGGGACACTTCAGTCC